CCCCTGCGCGCGCTCAGCGGGCCACGGTAAAATTATCAAAGGCTGACTGGTCCGCGGCAATAAAAAGGTTGGGGACCACTGCGCTAAATGATAACATGGCTAGGGTTACCTTCAACAAAAATAGATGCTTCTGTGCAGATGCCTTCAGCTTCAAATTTATATTTTCCAGCATGGCTGTCTTCTACTTTGTCTATTATTAGTTTGTGAACTGGGCCGTTTTTCTCAATGGAGACTGCTCCTAAACCTGTTACCTTGTGGGAAAGTTGAAAGAATGCAGAAAAATATGTTATCTTAAAAAAAAATCCACCATGCAACATTGAACAAACAATTCAGTTTGGTTCAAGGCTAACTTTACTACAGATGTGGGGAACCCTGGAGTTAGATAATCACTTGTTCAGATTTCAAAGATGTGCCAATGAAATAGACAATTTTTAGAAATTGGTAGTATTCACTGATCTTTTTTTAAAAAGTCATTAATATTTTTGAATAGATACATTCACTCATTTATACATTCCATTTTATTGTTTTAAAAAAATCATTGCACAACTGTGATGATTTTTCTTGCTTCAGATTATATTCCAGTCAAATACATATGTATTTTTGTTGTTGATAATTCAACCCCATAATCTATAACCATATTACATAATTTCATCCCAATTACTCAATTAAGACAGTCTCTTTTTACTATAATTTAAATTGACAGTAAGGAGCTGTTCCACTGGAATTTTAAATACCTATTTTAGATATATTTTATTTATGGTTTCTGGTTTATGTTTGGCGACATTCTTTATTTATTTTTTTGCATATCACCAAGCCTAGTCGAAGAAGAATGTAATTATGACCTCAAGAATGGTTTACTGCAATGTGTGTTATATGGAACTGCCCTTGAAAATTATTTGGAAGCTTCAACTGGTACAGAAAGGTAATTTTCAGTTGTGGCATTTGGCTTTTGGCTTTTGACACCTCAATTGGAACATTAAGATATGAGATCAGATTGGCCCCATCCGAATTGGCCTTTCATAAGACCTTGAACAAGCCTAAAGCACTGAGCAATAGAAAAGAGCCTGTTGTCCTGGCTATGTGGCTGATTGGTTGGATAATACCCAGCCTCTATGTGTTTTATTTTTATTTTTTGTTTATTTTATTGTAAGCTACCTAGAGTCATGTAAAAGGGGGATACAAGGTAGAGCAGAGGAATATGTCCAGTTCCTCGCGGACAAAGTTGCTCGGCTTCGGATGGACCTG